CCTCTGCCTATGGGCATGTGTCCCCCCCACAATCTGTGCTGGGGGCGCAAAGCCCAGTCCACAGCAGTAGCCACCTCCATCCCGCACACAGATGGGGGGGGGGGCACATGCACCCTCGGCCTCTGCTGGGGTGCGTGCAGCAGCGGGAGCCCCCTTGTGCACCTGGACAAGTTGCCAGGGCTCCAACCCTCCCACTACCCAGCTGGGCCGGGGCCCCACTCACCCCTGCCCTGCCCTACTCCCCCCCCCACCATGGGGGCCTCTGTCTGCCCCCCATTGCCCCTTCCCTCCCCCACAGACTGACCTGCTGGGTGGTGGGAGCAATAGATCCTAGGTTGCCCTTTACTTCAAAAAGTGATCTTCACCTGAAAAGGGTTGGAGACCACTAATATGTCCATTCAGTGGGACCACTTATATGGGTAAGCGCATAAGTAATGAGGGACCATAAATGATGGTGTCATAGTTTGGCCCACTGAATGAGTTTCCAAGCACTAGCTGTCCATGTCTCTATATTCCTATTCCTGTTCTTTATCAGAATCCTGACACTTGTATGTTTGGGGAGAAAAATTATTTAAACGCCTTGCTGTGGCTGGCGTAAAGTGGTTTTAACACCCCCAGCAGTACTCTTCAGTGGTTTGACTGACACTAATGTCTGGAAATAGTCAAGTGACAATGGACGTCTGGATTTGCTTGTTTTTAGCTCTCAGCTTTTCGTTATCAGACTAAAATGTTGTATTCCTCATAAAAATATATATTAAATGTTAATGAAAAGATTAAAATATTAGAAAATCTGACTCGTAGCCTTAACTTGTTGGTTTTGTTTGATAATCTGAATGCTAACGAATTATACAAATTCCATCACATTTACCACATTAGCACCTAAAAGTGTAGGTTCTATTATATAATCTTTCATTTTTAGGAAGATGCCTTGGAAAACCTTCCAGTCTATATTTCAAAAGAGCAGCCTTCCTTAATGACTTTAAATAGAAACAGCAGTTAGTTTCTTTTTCCATTTGCTCACCTTTTTGTTAGATACCTGTAAGTATAACATGTTGAGTTTTTGTTTTATTCGTATTACTTGCATATATTTGCAGTAAACCAATATTTCCCATGCACCACACTCTCTCATACCCGAAATGGTGTTACATATTTTGTCTCTCTTGTCTTAAGCTGCTAGATTTTAGAGGAAGGATCCTTATTCTGCCTTGTAAAGTACTTCACACGAGTAGGTCTACATTTTGATTATCCTTTAAACTGTTTTAATAAGTAACTGGTTTACTCAGAAAGGAGTTGGCCAAACTAAGCATCTGGTTTTGGGTGAGGTTTTGCTTTTTTACTTGCTTTCTTAACTGGAACAGCTTTAACCATTTAGAGGATATGAGATTCCTGCAGAGTAACCTATTTTGGTATACCCAGACCCGGAGATGGGATACTTGTGTAGGGCTTGCTTTTGTCAGTGAGGCCTCTTAATTGCTAAGCTTTTCATGCCTGTGGGAAACGTACATGAATTTCACTGTCACTAAACGTAAATTTGAAAAGTGGACTGAGGTGAAAATGAAATCAGTCATTAAAGACACACTAAGAAAATATAAAATTCTGACTGGCACCATGCTGTTTTGTTTTTACTCTGGGTAAGACTACTTTTTTGTTGCTCAATTTTATTTTATTCATGCATTTAATTTGAATGAGGCTTCATTTACTTTAGATAACTTTATTATGCAGATTTAATTGCTGTATAGTTTTCCAGCATGCTCCCCAAGATTAAATGACGGTAGTATCAGTAGGTGTTGGCTGAGATTGTCTAGTTTAGGCACTGTTATAGATGTCATTTTGTCTAGTGGTGAGACAAGGGAGGTAGGTTCAAGAATCTGTCATTGATTCTGTCACTGTTACTGCTTCATAGCTTTGGACAAATCAGTGAAGATTGACCTGTAAAAGATTTTATCTAATTGGAAAGCAGAGCACATGTGTTTTCCTTTTGGTTCTGTTGAAGCTCCCTGGTGGATTTCCTGCATGCTTGCTATGGCCTCTGAAGGGCATTGAATCCTAAGCAAAGACTTTCATTATGCAAAACCTTGATCTGTTATTGAAATTAAATAGGAGTTCAAAACTTTATCTTCTATAAGCAATCTGAGTAAAAAAAAGTTCCCCTTCTTAGTTGCTCAACTTTTGTCATTAGAGTTTTAACACGAAGTAATTTCACTGGTTGACCAGTCATCGTGAAGCATCAGTACACAAGAAGAGGGTGCTTAACCCCCAGTCTGTGGGCCAGATCTAGCCTGCAGAGCCATGGTATCTGGCCTATAGGGCTCCCCACAAGTCTAAAAATTTGGCGGTGGTGGAGTGGTAGTATAATTTGCCACTCCCCCTGCCAAATGTACGGGCCCATGGGGAGCCCTGCAGGGCAGATAGTGTGACCCTGCACACAGGGTGGAGTGGCATCAGGCAAGAGGATCCGGGTATGTGGGGTCCGATCTGGGCAACACCAAGTGAGATCCAGGTACACAGGTCCTGGTCTGGGCGATGCAAGGCATGATCCAGGTAGCACGATGCGTGATCCAGGCAGGTGGGGCCCAATTGGGTGCAGACCCCATAGATCTGGCGTACGAACTGGCCCTCTACCACTCATCCAGTCAGTTGGGCCAAAAAGTTGAGCACCACTGCACCAGAGCACTTTGGTGTTAACGTAGATTTCCTGAGCTTCCGTTCTGAGACTGAATCTACAAAATAAAATGTAAAAAAGGATACAAGTAACAACACATATAGGTGTTTGATTCTTCCTTTCTCCATTTCATCACTCTTCTTCCTGGTTCTTCTTAATGTCTTGGGGTTGTTGGTTGTAGCCGTGTTGGTCTAAGGACATAGACAGGGTTCTTTGGGTAGAGGTGATATCTTTGATTAGACCAACTGCATCATTGGAAAAAATGTTCTTTGCAAGCTTTCGGGCACAAACACCCCTCTTCAGGCATAGGTAGAGTCTGAGCACACCATTCACCAGCAGACTGTCTCTCTGCCTTAAAAAGGGCGTTTGTGCCCAAAAGCTTTAAAAGAACAATTTTTCCATCGATTTAGTTGGTCTAATAAAAGATAACACCTCTACCCAAAGAACCTTGTCTGCCTCTTAATGTCTTATGCTTTTCCATGACTCATGTAGATGGATTCGGAGACCTACAAAGTGCTAGACCTGTGCTTATTTCTAACATGTTTATATTTTAATCATGCAAAAAGCAGTTTCAGATGTTTTCAGCAATTAGAATCAGAAAAATGAGGGTTGGAAGGGAGCTCAGGAGGTCATCTGGTTCAAGCCCCTGCTCAAGGCAGGACCAGCCCAAACTAGATCATCCCAGCCAAAGCTTTGTCGAGCCGGGCTTTAAAAACCTCCAAAGATGAAGATTCCTCCACCTCTTTGGGTAACCAGCTCCTGTGCTTCACCACCCTCCTAGTGAGAAGGTTTTTCCTAATATCCAACCTAAACTTCCCTTGCTGCAGTTTGATGCCATTGCTGCTTGTTCTGTCGACAGTTCTGTAACTTGTACTGAAAACTCCTCCAGTCTTGTGTATGCCTTTCAGTTCCTGACACACATCCTTATTTTGGAGTCTAACTGGGAAGAATGGATATTTTATTTTTGGTCATTAATATACATGAAAGTAGCTGTTTTCTTTGCACTTAGCACCTCGTAGTATTTGATTTTAATGAGCTTATGTTGTTGAGCATTGTTAAAATAGACAAAGCTCTGCCATATTAAGCCACATCCTGAAGAGTTCAGCATTTGCAGATCACAGTTACCAGCTACCCTTTACAGAGCAGAGCTGTGGCAGCCTCACAATATTAGTTACGGTCTATCATTTTCATAATGAGTCTGTTAATGAGTCCCTAAGTACACTTTAATAATGACTCATACTTCCGAACTAGAATCTCCACAAAAATGTGAATGTAATGGTACCTGAATTCTTCACTCCTGCGAGGATTGTTTTGTTCTGCTGTGTATTTTAATGCCTCTCCCCACACCCATGTATATACTTTGCTTTAGCTGAACAGTATCTTTTCTGGTTTTTTTGTTCTTTTGTGAAGTGAGTTATGGAGGAAGTGTTAGATCTAAACATAAGTCAGAAACGAGATGTGAAGTCTGAATTTAATGCTCTTTAATCCAAGCATTGCTGTGACTGGTATGTGGGTTAAGGTACTGTATGCATACATTCAGTAAATAGAGAGCGTTTCACAAAATGCCTCAGATTTCCCTTGTACAGGGTTGGAAAGAACAGTTGGTCTAGTGGGTAGCAGCAAATGGGCTCTGAAAAGAGCAGGGGGCAAAGGCACTGAGTTACCTGGAAAATAGTGTAACCGTTTTGAAAGCATCACAAAACTGGAGGATTGAATCCATATGTAGGTGTTCACCCTTCTGTGGAAGCATGCTGCTGTTTCCTTTTATCATCACACTGGACACAGACTAGATGAGTGCTAGTCTATGAAGCCTTTAAACATTAGGTTTCAAAAACTTAACGTCCCTTAAAGGGTCCCAGATCTTGCGGGTTTATGTCCCATCATAGGAAAGTCAGGCACCCTCCCTGTACTTCAGCTGCTGCCACTGCTTCCTTTGCTGCCAATTATCTCGTGCCCCTACTGCAGCTACTACAACAGATTCCCCTCTGAAGTGCCAAGCAGTTGCAGCTGAAGTAGCGGGGTGCAAGAGAATTGGGGGTGAGCTAAGCAGCAAAAGCTGAAGTCTCGCTGTGGGGAGGCACAAGAGTAGCTGAGGTAGGGGATGGCGATTGCTGATTGCCACCGTGGCCTGCAGATGCCTCCCTAAGACCCCTTTGTACTACACACATTGGGGAATGCTGCTATAAAGCCTGGACCAAGACATGGAACTGTATGTTTCACCTCACTTTTAGGAATTAAACATTGCAATGTTTCTGGCTTTCTCTTGGTGTTGCATGTGTGCTTTGTTGGGAGATGCGTTTAAAAGTAGCTAACCTTCCATTTTATTCAATACTTGTAGGTGTTTGGGAATAAGATGATCATTCCTTCCTTGGATGGGGACCTTTTCCAGTGGGATCGTGATCGAGAGAGCATGGAAGCAGTTCCTTTCACAGTTGAATCTCTTCTTGAGTCATCCTACAAATTTGGAGAGGATGTTGTTTTAGTTGGGGGGAAATCCTTAACAACATATGGGCTGAGCTCCTATTCAGGGAAGGTAAAAGCTTGATGCCAGAGAATGTGTTGTGTTTCCATATGTGCATTTTAAGAACTATTTTTTCAAATAGCATTCTTTTTATTAAGAATTTTTTATACTCTGAGATTTTAATTCTAGTGTAGAACTGTAGCATGTAAAGACCTTCCAGTTCATTGATCAACAAATCTGACAAAGGCTGGATTTAGAATAAGGTTCACCTTGATAATATGAACAAAGTGTAAATGGTACATGGATTTTTGTTTTCTATCATGTAATCTAAAAACCTGATAAATGAGACCACTCTGAAAAGCAAAACAGTGATGTACCATATGCAAATATCTGTCTAGACCTGTGCTTATTTCTAGCATGTTTTTCACTTGTACTTTTATTTTAAAACTAACACAAGGTTGAAAGTTTTAAATGTTTTTTTAAATCAAAAAGTAGCATTTTAAAAAATCAGAGAAAATTGCCCACATTGTTGACGCTTTTATTTTTGTACAACTGTGTCTTTGTCTTTCTACTTTTTTAAGCAGTTCTTTCAACAAGATTTGATACATTTTTATTGAAATTTTGTTTTTGTGAAAAACACTTTTGGTGAATGAAAATATTGACACACATTCCAAAAGTACAGGATGGAAAAACTGAATGTAGGATTGCAAAGAAGTAACACTACAGAATATATATATATTTTTTTTTGCTTTCAGCAGAAAAATCCTGCAGAATTTTATTCTACAGAACTAGTTCTTCCCTTTTTTCCAGCAGCCTTAATTTATCCAGCCAGGTGCTTTATAGTAACAGGTTTAACACAGAACATTTTTCAGGAATGACATATAAAAAGGTACTAAAGATAATGACATTGCCTAAGGTTCCAGCAACAGTGGGGTGCATGAGATCACTTGAAATCTCTGTTTGACAGTAGGGACATGTTAAGGACAGATGAACGATCTTGGCTTCTGCTTGGATTTCTTGTCAACATTGATAGCAGCCCACCCTTTCTTTGTCACAGAATTTCAGTGATATTTTCCAGGCTGATATTGAAGAAGGGATGAAGGCTTCCTAAAAGCTTTTTAAATTTTTTTTTCTGCTTACCTTCCCAGTTAAAGTCACGCTCTTGAAAGAGCTGCTTCTGTGGAATTGGGAATGCTATAGTCAACTAATGCACTGCTGTTGTGGGGCAAACGAAGATATTCTTTCCTGTTGGTAGCTGTTCTCCAGGATAATTTAGTTAGTATTGAGTCAGTTTGTGAGAGGGTTTGCAAGACTTTCTTGCAACTCAGGATATGAAGGCAGAAGGTAGGGCAGGGTGGCTCAGAGAGGCATGTGCTTTCACAGGAATGAACCGTTCGTAGCATTTGATGAAGTAGGTTGTTGCTTATGAAACCTCATGCCTCTCTGGAGCAGTTGGTCTCTAATGTACCACCCTATATTACCTTCTGCCTGACTTCAGATTAACATAGTTAACCTCTTCTTTGTTCAGGATATGATGGGAAAAGTGGAGAAGTACTAAACATAATGAAGTTGTGATTTCTGTGAATTGCCACACAGAAGGACAGACAGTAGTGGTCTTAAAATCTTTCAAAGTTGACTAGTAACATTTGGCTGCTCCAAACTACAGAGCCTTTCTGAAAATTACAGTACTCTGAGCACTCATGATCTGTAGTTCAGGCCTTGTTAACATCTCTTGGGTTATGCATCCAAGAATGAAGATCCCTAAAACCTCTAGTTCCTTTTTCAGTCTTAGCCCAAGCCTCTAAATCATTCCACTGTTGAAGTACTAACATTTTTGGAGAAGTGCTAACTTACAAAGTCCGTGTTCTTTTTATATGGTATGCATTCACGTTAGAGTCTTTCAGGTATATGTGCGTTTCTTATCTTGTCCCTTAGGTGAAGTACATATGTTCGTCTGTGGGCTGTCGCCGCTGGGATGAAGATGAGACGGACCAAGAAGATACTCTTCTTCTGCATCGAACACAGAAAACAGTCCGTGCTGTTGGGCCACGTAGCGGCAATGAGAAGTATGTAAAAGTACAATTTCTGGTGTCTTAGCACTGTTTTGCAATAGGGTGGCAGTAATGATCAGAGGGAGGAAAAGGTAAAGCCACATCTTACATTCTGAGATGTTTGAGGGTTTGACTTTGTTTTACCCTTATTGAATTGAGAATTCTGCTGGATTTTAGCTTCTCAAGCACAACGACCTGTCAGACTTTGCCATTTGGACTGTGTAACTTCTGTGCTCTGTGTTGCTTTGCAAAAGTTTCTTTAGCTTCAGTTTCTCTCAGTTTGAAATGAGTTGGTAGGACAGGATTTCCCTGTATATTTAATATATCGCTTCTACATTATGTCGCAAGGAGTTCTCCAATTCTGCTGCATTAGCGCTACAGTCCTTCCAGCTGTCAAATGTATTTTCCAAGCAGCAGATCAGAATGTGTGTTTACACTGAAGCATGTTGCTGTTGGTTTATTTCTGTTATTTATTACCAGTGTTCATATCTTACCTCTTTTCTTTAGTTACCACTTTGAATATATATACTCAGTGTTTGCATCTTTCACTTTAAGTGTAATGTCTTTAAACTGAAAACACGTAATTCTTTTAGTGTATTCTTGTATGACCCATTCTCAAATCCCTTTATTTTTGTTGCTCATTTCTGAACCCTACTACAGCTTCACTTCTCTTCTTACAAAGCTTTTTATAAAACATCTATAAGCACCTATTCCATAAATTTAAAATTAAAATTACAAAGTACAATATAAAAGGCTAGTTATTTCTCATAAGAAATGGTAAATATCCCCCAGCTAGTTAGTTTAAAGTGCAGTCCCTTCTACATACCCCAAATTCTTAGTGGTTGGCACAGGTACTCTGCAATGTGCTCAGAAGTTTTACAAACCCAGGGTTGGTCTAAATCTCCCAGTCTGATCAATTCAGAAGTTCCATCATTCTGCGTGGGAATCTGGTTTGCTGTGGCTTCTCTGAGATTGGTAGTGGCAAGGAAAGACATCGTAACAAAAAGTTAGAGATTATTTTCCTGGTAATATTGCAGCTCTGGTGTGATGATTATGAGAGCTTTCAGGTTAGCTAAGGAAAGACCAGCTTATAGGAGAAGAAAGGTAAAAGTAGCGCATATATATAAAAAAAAAAAGTGCTGGTCCTTGACTCCTGGTAAGTTGACAGAATGGTCTTAGGAATCTTTGGACAACCAGATGTATTGTTACTCATGAATATATACTTTCCCCCCTTTGTCATTCAAAACAAACCTGCTGCCCACATATTAGTGTCTGCTGTGTATATCCTGATGGACATAGCATAGTCTCTATAACATAAATATTAAAAAATACTTCTGTCTATTTATAAATATAGTTCTCAGTATTTCTGACTTTGTACAATATAGTAGATCTCTGGTATCCAGTAGAGCTGTATGAAGCTTCGGTCGCTGATTCAGTTCGGAGTAGATTTGGCCTGATTTTGGCAGCCGAATCTTCGAATCAGAATTGAATCAGCAGACCCATTAATCTCTCCGAACCTAATCAGAAGCCTCCAGTTCAATATGGAGACATTCGACAGTTCGGTCATAGACACAGCTTTTTATGTTTTTTCTTTGTACCTCGAGGTAACAGGCATGGCTCTAAGATGGTGTGCATGCTCAGTACTTCTGAGTCCGCTGCCAAGCGTCCAGGGGACCCCACCTGGCTCAGCAACTGGTGCCTCCTGAGTCTGGGAAGGCACCCGGGGTCCCACCACAGCCAAATGCCAAGCTGGGGGGGTGGGATGCAGGGGACGTCCCCCGCATGCTTGGCAGCAGACACCCTCCCCCCCCCGGTAGGATGCTCCATCCACCCCACCATCTCAGTGTTCACGAGCCGTGCCTGGTACCTCGAGGTATGTAGAAAAAACATATAAAGCTGTGTCTATGGCTGAACTGCTGATTCTCTGAATCGGAATTGAATCTTCAGATTCAGCCAGATCGAATCGGGACAGTGATCCGAATCAGTGAATCAAATCACTATCCCCTGAATCGGGCCGAGTCCAAATCGAATACTGCCCGCTTCGCACACCCCTAGTATCCAAGAGACAGCCTTATTCAGGACACTAACTAGCCTGACATTGCTGGTGTAGTCTGTTGTTAAAACTATAGTAAAAATTTAACCCTTTTCTATGTAGGTTAGAGCAGAGGTTCCCAACCCCTGGTCCGCAGGCGGGTTGGCTGCCAGTCCACAGGAGGGTTGGCTGCCGGACCGGAAGTCCAGAAGTGACTGGCATACTGTGGAGTGACAGCGAACCCTTTTTTATACTAAGTATAGAAAAAGGTTGGCTGCCGCTCTGCAGTATGTCGGTCACTTCCGGACTCCAGTTTGCCAGTCCTCAGTTTGGTGGTCCATGGTTTGCCGGTCCATGATCTTAAAAAGCTTGGAACCCCTGGGTTAGAGCATGAGGGATGAGGAAGTCTGGTTATGTTTAAATCCTATTCAGTGAGACCCATGCCTCTTATTTTTTTGTTCCTTTTCATTAGTTTTAGTTCAATATTTCTTTATATGTAAGGAAAGCAGTTATATAAATGAGAGAGTTTATTTTAAAATACTGCATCTTAAACTGTGGTGTATTTGTTGTTGTTAGCAGCTAGACAAGATTTTGCTTGATATACAATTACAGTAGTTTTTATCTGACTGATATTCCAGTCCTTAGTGCTTGATTTCTTGCCCAGTAAACCAAAATTTACCTCTAAAACCACTAATCCTGCTTAGCTGACTGTCTTTAACTTTTTAATACATCATTTTGGATTGAAAAATTTCTGCACTGCCTTTGTGGTTTGCGCTTTGGAAATAATCTAGTTTGGTGTGTTAACACTCCCTCTAGTGGTGCAAGGGTACTTTAGCAGAGCATCACAATTATTAGTGTAATGCGATTACCTCAATTTCATTTCCATACATCTCAGGTGGAGGTGGTGAGGGTTGGGACTCCCTTTTAAACCTTGTTTCCAGAAACCTTTTTTCTTTTTAACTTTAAGGTGGAATTTTAGTGTTGGTCACTTTGAACTGCGCTATGTCCCAGACATCGAATCTAGAGTGGGATATATTGAGAGCAATTTTAAATCAAGTATAAACAAAGAAGAGACTAAAATCATTTCGGATGTGGAGGAGCAGGAGGCTGTGATGAAGGATACAGTGATAAAGGTCTCAGTAGCCGACTGGAAGGTTATGGCTTTTAATAAACAGGGAGGACATCTGGAATGGGAATACCAGGTACTGAAGATGGCAAAGTATTAAATGTATAGAAATTGAAGTTTTACAGCCTTATAGGAAAATGTCATGCATCTTGAATTAGCAGGCATCTGTCCAGGTTAAAAGCTGCATGTCTCCCTATACATTTTTTATTTAATTTTTGTATTTTTGACCTGTTGATCAATTGCAAATTGAAACAGGGGCTCCAAGGGTAAGTGTTTCTTAGAACAAATCTTGGGTTAATTTAAGAAGTAAATTTTAAAATTACCCTTTTCATATTCCTTCAGTTTTGCACTCCAATTGCTTCGGCATGGCTGGTTAAAGATGGCAAGGTTGTTCCAATCAGTCTCTTTGATGATACAAGTTACAGCTCTGACAGTGAGATCCTAGAAGATGAAGAGGATCTTGTGGAAGCTGCCAGGGGAGCCACAGAATCTAGTGTCTATTTAGGTGAGATGCCTAATGTCTTCTATTGTTACCTTCTTGCCCTAGCAAAGTCACAGCAAATGGGTTGCTTAAAAGCCATGGATTGAGGTGAGAAGACCCTGTTAGGTTACCTACTCAGATATGATATATAGCACAGGCCCTTTTACTAGTAAATCTTGTACTGAGCCCAATAACTTGGCATTTAGGTAAAGCATTCTTTCAGAAAGACAGTTAGTCTTTATTTGAAGACTTCAACAAATGGAGAGGGCACTGCTTCCCTTTCTAGTTTGTTCCAATAGTTAATTATCTTTGTTCTAGTTCTCACTTTGATTTTTTTTTTAAATGATTAACAGTTGCATGTGGTTTAGTTATTACAATGCTGATTTTTTTGCCTTGACTGGATGAGCAGAATTTCTAAGATCTGGTTCTTAGTGCAGAAATACTGTTCCAGATCTGAAATGTGCAGTGTGTGAATAATTTTTGCTGCTTTTATTAAATTTGCTGCGTCTGTAAAACATCCTGTCAGTGAGATTCTTGACTAGCAAGTTTGTGGAAACAGAGTGCTAGAAGGCATGAGCTTAGTTGTGTCAAATTTACTGAAAGCTTTGGGCAAAAACTCTATGGAGAAAACGTGGCTACCTTTGCCCTGCTCTGATTCATGCAAACAATTCATGTAAGCTCCTAGCAGTTGTATAAATAACTCATTTGATTATTTTGACTCGCCTGAGGGGAAAAAAAGTATTGGTGTAAGGGTATGGGATTTTTAGTTAAATATTTAGTTCAAAATGAAAGAAAGAGATGCCACACTTTCAAAATGCTTTCCCATTTTGACTAAAATATATATTTACATGTATCTTGTTATTTGGGTGCTATTTATAGAATTCTGAACCTTTTTTAAAGCTAGGATTTAGGTAATGAGAAGTAGCATTCCTGTTCAATATGGACTTCTGTCCTTTTCAGATCCCTAGCCTTAGTCATATTAAATCAATTGTTTACACTGACCACTGTGACAGAGTCACTATATATAAATGGTGACAACAGGAAGGATTGTGCTTTTTTTCCCTCTTAAATCTTTCTGCCACTGCCGCATGGTGGGTAAATGTGCTTCCCCGCTGTGTTTGTATTAGCCTTTTAATTTCTGTAGACACCACGCTTAACACTATTATTACTCTTCTCATCAGAATGGAGGTCATCATAGTGTTTAAGGGCAGAATCAAGACCACACCTGAAGCACTTCTAGTTTAAGCATTGGCGTGCTTAAAAATATGGTACTAAGCCCCAAAAGGGTGCTTCAGAAAGAGGGAGTAGGCTCACTGTATAGCAAATAATGCTTGGTTGTGATGATGTGCAACGTTAGTGATGCATATTTTTTCTAGCATTGCAGTATAGATAACACCTTCTCCAAGTGTTAAGTACATAGTACTTGTTTCTTTGAGTGAGACTCCCTTGAAATGCTTTATTTACTTAAAAGGAACTACATACTCTTCACAGTGGGGCTCTGAACTGTAGCTGCATCGTGGTGGGACAGTAGGGGGTGCTGAACCACCCGCCTCACTGTGCCCGGCCCAAAACCACACTTTGAGAGTCTCCCTTGGGGCGCCTACATCTGGCCGACCCCCTTCCTGGAGACCCTGCAAGCCTGCGGTAATGCTGCCACCACCCGGGCACTGGGCTCTGTTACGTCTCTGTGCAGCCTGGGGTACACAGACCCAGTAGACCTTGGGGTTGCTTGGCCCACCATGGTATTTTGGGGTGCTTCTTTTAACCTGAAGCATTCAAAAGTTAGTTTCCTGTACCATAGGAAAGTAAAAATGCCAAGCCCACTGTAGCTAGCCAAGCAAAGGGAGCTGTAAAGGCTTGTTTCACCCTTCTCCCCTCAGATTCACAGCCAGGCATGCTGTAAGTTAACTTTTATTGATCAAAGAGGGACAGAATGGGGAAGGGGTACAGGACAGAGGAATAATAAAAAAAAAAAATGCCTCGAGTGAAACAATGTTTTGAGCCTTTCATCAAATATTGAGTTGAGTGACCCTTTTCATATGTGTCTCAACTACTTAGATCTAACTTCCTAACTAGTCTTCAGGCATACTCACTGAGTCATGCAGACGGTAGCCTGACGTCCCTGCTTTAGTTTGTTCCAAGATGCCTGCTGGAGGAAAAGAGCCCCCAGACCAGGTGGCCTGACCCTTAAATAACGTTTTTTGACCTCATCACCTGGGTCCAATCAGAACCAGGCATTATTTGAACCCTTCTCATGCAAACTAAGCATTTCAAGAATGGTCAGCAACCCCTGGTGAAGTGACCAGTCACCAAACTGGTTCCACAGGTTTCTCAGAGGGAAACTTAAGACAAAAGGGTCTGGACACAGTAAGGGGGGGATGGGAGGAAGCAAAACATACAGCGCAGCCAAGATACACAGCAAAACAGACTGTGCATCACATGCATAACTCCCAAGCTGTGCTTGTCTGAGGAGCACAGAATGAGTAATAATTGGATAATCATTTCTCTGCTTCTGAAGGGAAAATTCACTTGGGCATTATGGAGTTGTTCTTTAAGTCCTCCATTTTCTCTCTTGAAATGCTAGGAGTCTTAAAACTACAGTCCTAATTGTGCAACTTGGTGCTGGGGAAAGAGCTAAATCTTAAGGCAAATATGCTCTCTGGTTTATTACTCAGGAATGTATAGAGGCCAGCTGTACCTTCAGTCCTCAGTCAGAATTTCTGAAAAGTTCCCAACCAACCCAAAGGCTCTGGAATCCAGGAACGACAATGCAATTATCCCTCTGCCCAAAATTAAGTGGAAGCCTCTAATTCGTAAGTAACAATCTCAAGGTCTTTGTGTTGTCACCATCTGCTCTGAAAAAACAGTTCACTTAGTGTGATCTCCTTAAACTGTAGATACAACCTTCCATCTCAGATGTGATGATTGTGAACTACTTCAGAATCCGCTTTTGTGCTTTATTAACTCTTTTAGTCTTAAAAACAATTTTGCTTCGTTATAGGTAGTGACAGTCATTTTTTAGTAGTCAAATCTTCCACTGCCTCTAAATCAAAAGGATGTTCTAGTCCCATCAGAAATGAAAAATATATTTTCAATGCCACAAATTTCATTTATTTGACTTGTGAATTGGCGTATAGATTTTGTTTGGTTTGGTTCTGGAAGCAATGACTTTTTTTTTAGAAATGCGTCTCCTGGTTACTATTTTATTTGCACAACTGTTCATTATTTTTTTTTTAATTTGTATTTTTCTATTGCTGCTCAATGGGAATTCTCAAGGAAAGAGTTATAGTGAGGAGATGGTAGAAAAGGTTTTTGACATTCATGGCTCTGTAAAAAGAATTTTCCTTTCTTTGACTAGATTCTCCCTCCAGGACTCCTGTATTGGTGGGGTCTGATGAATTTGATAAATGTCTCAGCAACGACAAATATTCTCATGAAGAGTACAGTAACGGAGCACTTTCGGTTCTACAGTATCCATATGGTATGTGTCAGTAGCAACTTTTGTTACCTCTTAATGCATGAATGAATGCACCTGAAACAGACTAGGAAATTGGGTCAGTTTACATATAAAAAAAGTCCAGTAAACATTCTTTTTTAAATCTTAATCATTAAGTACGATAAACATTTGATCTCCTGAACCATTGAGCAAATGATAGTTATGGGGAAAATGCATGCGCTGAATTCTTCAATAGTCAAGCATACAGAGTTCATAAATTCTGCAAAGGAAACCTGGCAGGTTGTAGAGTTTATGGATTTAGGTAACTGAACTTGTACAGAGTTCGATTACTTAAATTTCTTCAATATTGCCATTTTTTAAAATCAGGGTATGTATAAATAGATAATACAGTATATTTGTTTTAATAAATAACAATACTTTTTAAAATACTTCTCTGGTGCAGTGTTTTACAACACTAAGGACAAACTTGTTTGTCCACAGATAGAATTTCTTAATAGTTTGGTGTAAATAAACTTTGTATTCTTTTTCTTTTAAACAAAGACAATGGTTATTATTTGCCCTATCACAAAACAGAGAGGAACAAACGAAGCACTCAGATCACTATTAGGTTTTTTGACAATATGAACTACAAGAATATCCGTAAGAAAGATCCTGTTCTACTTCTGCATTGGTGGAAAGAAATAATTGGCACCATTTTATTCTGCATTGTGACCACAACTTTCATTGTGCGCAGACTCTTCCATCCCCATCCTCATAGCAGAGTAAGCATCTTATTTTAATCCTATTACTTAATCAGTCTTTGTTAGCCTTTTCTCTTGGTTCCGGGCTTAAGTGTACAAATATGTAAGTAAATTATTAATGACATTGGGGAAAGAAAACTTGCTTTTTTAACTGATTTAAAGAAGGCCATTGGTTGTAGGATATAAGATTTGCTTAGTAACTGCATTAAGTAAATAGATTGCTTTAGTCATTTTTGCAGTCTTCAGAAATGTTTATATTGAATTTTTTTCATCTGTATGCTTAGCAGTATAAGGCAGTCTCTGTTTTTCTTGGTAGTGTAAAGGACTTGTTTTTAACTCTTGTCAGCAGCGGAAGGAATCAGAAACACAATGTCAGACTGATAATAAATATGAGTCGATCGGTGGTGAGAGTAAAGATAACAGCTGGAGTGACATTAAGAACTCAGGATATGTGTCAAGGTGAGATTCATTCATCCCAGTTCAACAGAATAAATGAAGCACTAGTCCATGTGAGAACTAGTTCTTTCTAGCAGATTCTATCATTGATTCTTACCTGCTCTAGTTTTCCTGTCCCATATGAAAACTGACAAATGTTAATGCAGCTCATAAACTTTGGGCCTTATCTCTGCATTATCAGTGGGAGGCTGCAGTTATGGTCATTCTAAGCACTCATCAGGTGATCATATAACATTTGTATGTGATAGTCTAATGATAGCTGCCTGCAGAAACGATTCCAGGAGAGTGCGGGGCCTGGGGCAAAGCAGCCTGTGTGGGGCCCCCACTCCCCATCCCATAGCATACTTAGGCCAGGGAGCAAAAGCCCTGGCACACCGGATGTGGCGGGAGGGCTGGCAGCCAGAACTTCTGGCCAGAACAGGCAAAGAGATGTCTAACCCACCAGGCGGGTGGGTGGGCTAAACTTCAAACACGGCAGCCACGGCCTCTCTGCCCAGCTCTGCAGGGCCTGCCAAAGTGCGGGGCCCAGGGCAGTTGCCCCGATTTGCTCCCTCACCCATCACGAGATGGCCCTGGCTGCCTGGACTGAAATGATAAAAAGATCCTTGAAGTCTTCATATCAGTGTTTACCTCTCCTGTTAATGTGTTTATGAATTATAGTGAGAACAAGCCAGATGTTGCTTTAATCTGGAAGGTGGGACAGGTGTTCCAGACACGCTGTAAGCAACTCTGCTCATGTTTTTGAAGAGCACTAAAAACATGTGGGGGGAGATACGTCATCTGTAGAAAATTTGGACTAATGAAAAACAGGAGGTTGTATTATTGGAATGCCACGAGTGTATCCATAACCTACTGAAGTTAAGAACTGGAGCCTCAAATAAGAAATGGAAGGAAGAGGGAAATGGTTGGTTTTTGTGTTTAGAAGGAGTTGTGTGTGGAGGAGGAGATCTTGCAACAACAAGCATTTTGAGAAAATAGCCACTTTTTGGGGAGGGAGTCTATAGAAACTACCGAGAAAACTGACCCTGGTTTGGCTGTGCGTGATGAAATGAAAACTTAAGCTAAAAGTCTCTAACATTCACAGTAAGCAGAAATGTAATACTCTGGAAAGCGTGTGCGATTTGTTTGTATAGCAGTACCTCCTATAGGTTGTAGTTGAGATTAGGGGCTATGCTAAGCTCTGTACAGGCACACGATGTAAGTCAGTCTTTCCTCGTGCGCTTTCAGTTTCCCATTGACAAGGCAAGGTGAGAGAGGAGAAGCAAAGGCGCGGAGAGGTGAAGTGGCTTGCCTAGCATCTCGGAGTCAATCCTGCCTTGGTTGGCTTTCGCCTCCCCAAATACTCGCTAACTAGTTGATTTCTTTTCAGATATCTAACAGATTTTGAACCAATTCAGTGTCTGGGTCGTGGAGGATTTGGAGTAGTCTTTGAAGCCAGAAACAAAGTAGATGACTGTAACTATGCTATCAAAAGGATCCGTCTACCTAACAGGTAATGACCAAACTTTTTCATAAAAGTTAATGAACTGTGGGTTCCAGACTTGTACTGTTATGAGCAGCTCAGCTGATCACCTGGACCTCATTAGATGAGGATAAATAAAGCAGTTTTTTATTGGGCTTTCACCTGATTGAGTCCTGGCATCAGCGTTGACTTATGTACTCCAACAGAGTGCTGGCCCTTTTGCCTACATGTGTGAAGTACTGTCAGGATCTGCTTTTGCAGTAGGATCCTTGAGAGGATGGTGATGCTGCATGAGAACTGCCAGACTCCATGAAGAATGGAGCCTTTGGGAATGGGACCTTTTATTTTCAGCACTACTAATTTGCTTGCTTTTCCTCATCTTCTCCTAACTTTCTACTTCACCTTTTCTTCTCTCCCCTGCCCCTTTCTTCCCCTGAGCTCACTTTTCTGATTCTTAATTTGTTTCATTTTCTGGTTCCACAACCCCTGCCTTTCTTTCAGCCTTAGGTGGTCAAGTCAAGCTGCTGAATTAACCTACACAGAGATTACAGCACTTCCTTTTAGTGTGAGATGGGAGACTACTTCTGGAAATCTCGAGTTAGAGCAGCAAGAGGCAGGCCAGTAGAGCAAGGGAAAAACTCTTAAATGAAGCACTTTTTAAATTATGTTGAGAGAGCTGTAATTCCATACGTGTAAATTTAGGATAATCATGACTTGCTCTTGCAGAGCTCTGTTATGCAAATACTATCTAAACTAACTTTTTAGATTTTTTTACTACAAATGTTGTATTTTCTGGTCCCATGGTGAGGATGAACAAAATTGAGGGAACAGTGGCTCTAAAGAGGGCACTTGCCATTTAATGTCCTTGCTGCATGGTTTAACTGTGTGTGTGTGTGTGTGTGTGTGTGTGTGAGAGAGAGAGTGTGTGTGTGTGTGTGTGTGTGTGTGTGTGTGTGTGTGAGAGAGAGAGTGTGTGTGTGTGTGTGTGTGTGTGTGTGTGTGTGAGAGAGAGAGAGAGATCTGCTTTCTCCAAAAAACAAACAGGAACAAGATGAGACATACCTAGTCTCACCCTTTGTTATCCCTTAGTTGTTCAGAAAGAAAATACTAGGTGTGTTTGTGTTTATAAGGGCCTAAGCATTGCTGCCCCTACAATGCTTCTTGTCCTGTAGAGTAAGACTGGGGCTTGAAAACAGACGTGTCTTATTATGCTTGTACAGAGCACTACCACTAAGACATTCCATACTGGCATAGTCTGTTATGGGTTCATCTCTAACGCATAGATAATCTGCAAAAACGCCTACATAAAACAGTTGCTTTATACAATTTCATCTTTTTTCCATCCAGGGAGTTGGCTCGTGAGAAGGTGATGCGTGAAGTTAAAGCATTGGCTAAACTCGAGCACCCGGGAATTGTTCGATATTTTAATGCATGGCTAGAGGCACCACCTGAGCGATGGCAGGAAAAGATGGATGAACTCTGGCTAAAAGATGATGGGTAACTTGTTTAGTTTTATTAAGTGAAATTGTTCAATGGCAGATTAAGAGAACCGATGCTCTGTACCAGAAGGATACGAAGTTCAGTCAATAAAAGAGATAGCTATGCTTATATCAATCTAAAGTTGCATATTTATATAGCAGATTGTAAGTATATTGTATCTGGTGTAAAGTTTCTCTATCCTTTGTCATCTTCCCTGTTATTAAGGTTCTTGGAGGGGGGCGCTGTCCTAAAGCCCTTTATTTGATTTTGGTGTTTGAGTCTGTGAAGTTACACACTTTTTGCTGATGTGATTTTAAACTTTCCAACTTTAGTTTCCAAACTACATATTCCAAAGAACTTCTGCTGTCTGTTTGGTTGTTCACTTTCTTTACTGGTTGATTTGTCTTAGATCACAATGCTTTGATCCATTAGTAGGTTCAGTGAGTTTACACTGAATAGAATTCATGTCCTGTAGTGGCAAATTTATAAAGTATACAGACTGTCAAGAGAGAAAAATGGAAGTGAGTATAAGAGAGGAGAAATATAAAAATGAGAATGAAGACACAGAGAAAAATGGAACAACAGTGGCTGAAGATAGAAAGGGAAAAATAAAAGTTTATGGACCACTAAGTTCTTATTATAACTTTGGAGTTCTTTGAATAAATGACTTTTAAATTTATTGTACAGCATTAGCAGTTTGCAGTTGGAACCTCAACGAATTGTGCTTGTAATGTCAGCTTTAACCGTTCTGATAGCTTAATCCTTTTGTACTACAGGAAAAGCTTGATAGCATGTGGAGAGCTCAGAGGTGCTGCCTGGTAAAATTTCATTGAGGGCATTTTAAGATGCTTGCTGGACGAAGTACTCCACAGCATATTTCTAGCATAATGGAAAAACGGTGTTCTCAGTAAGAAATGTAAATGAAGGATTGAAACAGTAACTCTCGCTGAGTTTAGTAATTGTTATTAGCAAGCTTCTTTCTCCTATCAAACTTAATGGGAATGTTTAAGCAAACATAGCAAAGAATTAGTCTGCAGAAAATGTATTTAGGGATAAAAGTTCTGGTGTATTGATCTGTATTTCTCTTTTTTTTTAGTACTGACTGGCTACTTAGTTCTCCCAGTCCAATGGATGGGCCATCATTTAAAATAAGAACAGAGCCATTCACTTCCAAGGAACACGTTGAAGTTATTACTGCTTCGTCCCAGAGAGTTCAGTCTTTCTCTGTTGGGATTGCTTGTGGCCAGTCTGATTCATCCGGGAGCCAGTTCTCTCCACTGGAGTTCTCTGCTGCTGATAACAGAGACTTTCACAAGTCAGGAGATCCAATGTTAAACCTGCAGGACAGCGTACTTACAGACTGTGATGTAGAGGACAGTATTGATGAGAACGACCCAGGCCATTCCTTTGAACTTTGTCCTCCAACCATGGCCACTGTATGCCTGAGAGAGAGGACCTCTTCCTCCATTGTGTTTGAGGATTCTGGCTGTGATAATGCTTCTGCTAAGGAAGATAACAAAATTGATACTTCCCATGATGACAGCCTCTCTGAGGAAAAAGCAACAAATACAAAAGATACTGATAACAGGAAATCTCCTTCACAAAGTTCTCTGTCCATTTCTCCACCAAGACCGACAAGTTTAAGCCTGGACCTTTCTAAAAACACTGCAAAAAATGTCAAACCCTCCTCACCAAAAGTGTATCTGTACATCCAGATGCAGCTCTGCAGGAAGGAGAACCTCAAGGACTGGATGAGCAGAAGATGCTCCATAGAAGAGAGGGAAAGGACAGAGTGTCTGCAGATATTCCTGCAGATAGCTGAGGCAGTTCAGTTTCTCCATAATAAAGGATTAATGCACAGGGACCTCAAGGTTTGTATGGACAAGGATTGCTGTTGAACTCATGTTAGCTTTCTAGCTCTTGAATCTTTTACTATTGAGCGTGCTCCAGTGAGTTGTATATGCCACTGTTGCATGGTGAATCCCCATCACAGTTGTCACTGTGCCGTCGGGCAGGTGTTTTCTTTCTCACCCTCTGGGAGCTTATCCTTATTGCAGCAGTAGCTCCAGTTACCCACATTCAGGTCAACTCCTCTCCCTTTAATCTTGCTTACAGGAAAACGGTCTCCCTGCAAAATACTTGAAGGACCCAGTGTGGTATAATAAGCAGCACTGTGTGACTGACCTACTGCATTCCTTGCTAGAGCTTCAGCAGCACTTGCCTCAGGTCACCAGATGCAGTAGACCAGGGCTGTCCAAGTAGCAGCCTATGGGTTGTATCTAACCTAAAAGGGGCTAATGTGCAGCTTGTGGACTCCTGCCTGGTTGCTGCTCCTTTCATTGCTCCTGCTTTTGTGGCGGTGGCTAGAAGCACAGGGATCTCTGGGACAGGGCACTACAGCCACAGACAGCCCAGTAGGCTCGATAGCCAGACAGCAGGGGAGCGCCTTGGGCTGCCCATTCAGCAGGGTTGGGGGGTTGCATTTCTCGGGGTTGGGGGCAGTGGCAGGGTGAGTGGGCTAACACTGCTTGTACAGCAACGGCGGGGTGGAGAGACTCATCCATCCAGTGGCAACAGCAGGGCCAGGGTGGGGAGAAGTGAGAAGGAGGCTCATGCAGCAGGGGGCTTCTGTGTGATGGAGCTCCAGGAGCCCACGTGGAAAGTTGCCCCTGCAGCATGTGGCCCAGGGCCGTGACTCGTGGTGTGCAGCTCCTGACCACTTTGAAGCTGGACAACCCTGTCATAGGCAATATCTCCTACCTCCTGTAGAGGTGTTGTGGGCCTTAGTAAATGTTTGTCCAGAGTTTTGGAATTGCATTACTCCAAAAGGTAGTGACTAATTGTTGCAATTAAGAGTGCTTTATTGGAATCTTCCTAAGTACCACAATTTAGCATGCATTCATTACTTAGTTTATGCTTCCTACTTCCAGAGTTTACTTGACTACCATACATCTTAGTGTATTGTTGAGCTATAAGGTAAAGCAAGCTTCCATTTTAAAACCTGTGCAAAATGAACCAAATCACACTAGTTTGGCAGCCTATTGCTTCTCTCTGCTTACAAGAGGTATAAAAGTTATGTGCTAGAACATCAGGAGAAAAATTTTAAGTGTTCTAGACGTAGTCTTTCTGGACTTTAGGAAGGCCTTCGACACTCTCTCACAACATCCTCATTAAAAAATTAGGCAGCTGTGGTGTTGACGCCTACACAGTCAGATGGGTCGCAAATTGGCTGGAGGGCTGCATCCAGAAAGTGGTGGTGGACAGGTCATTTTCGACCTGGAGGGATGTGGGCAGTGGGTTCTCCAGGGCTTGGTCCTTGGGCCCGCTCTGTTCAACATCTTCATCAGCGACTTGGACAAGGGGGTGCAAAGCACCTTGTTCAAGTTCACGGATGACACTAAGATGTGGGGAGAAGTGAGCACAGTAGAAGAGAGGGACAGGCTATAACTAGATCTGGACAGGTTACAGGGGTGGTTAGATAAGAATAGGATGGGTTTCAATACGATCAAATGCAAGGTGTTGCACCAGGGCAGAGGAAGAACCAGCAGCATACCTACAGGCTGGAGACCTCCCTTCTTGTCAGCACAGAGGCGGAAAAGGATCTTGAAGTCGCTATTCACTCCAAGATGAACATGGGTCGCCAATGTGGGGATGCGGTCAGGAAGGCTAACAGCACCTTGTCATGCATCCACAGATGCATCATGAGCAGGTCCAAGGAGGTGATCCTCCCCCTCTGTGCGACGCTGGTCAGGCCACAGTTGGAGTACTGTGTCCAGTTCTGGGCGCTGCACTTCAGGAGGAATGTGGATAGCATCAAGAGGGTCCAGAAAAGGGCCAATCACATGATCAAGGGGCAGCAGGGTAGACCCTACGAGGAGAGGCTACAGGACCTGAACCTGTTCAGCCTCCACAAGAGAAGGCTGAGAGGAGATCTGGTGCCCGCCTATAAACTTGCCAAGGGGGACCAGCAGGCAATGGGAGAGTCCCTGTTTCCCCAAGCACTATCGGGAGTAAAAAGGAACAATGGTCATAAGTTGCCTGAGAGTAGATTCAGGCTAGACATCAGGAGGCACTACTTCACAGTCAGCGGCTAGGAGCTGGAACCAGCTTCCAAGGGAAGTGTTGCTCGCTTCTACCCTGGGGGTCTTCAAAAGGAGGCTAGACAGTCACCTAGCCAGGGTTGTTTGACTCCAGCATCCTTTCCTGCCCATGGCAGGAGGTCGGACTTGATGATTGGCTCAGGTCCCTTCCGACCCTACCAACTATGAAACTATGAATTCCAGCACCAATGCCAAACGCAATAGTTCAGCTTGTCTGAAGGACCTGTAATCTTCAGGTATCCTAAAAAGCATTACAACTGGAAAGAAATGTTGTACACTAGAGCTGTCCAATTGATGGCCCGCAAGGGGTTATGTCGTGGCCCCCCAGGTCCTAGCCCCTTTCCTCACTCACCCTGGCTGCAGCAGCAGCTAGACTCTGGGCTCCCCTCCCTCTTCCAGCTTCTGCTTCCTGCTCCTGCTCCTGCTCCACACGGCCTGGGGTAGTGTATGCCCTGACCTGGTGCACCCTGTGAGCATGCACCCCTCATTGATGCAGCTTGTAGGGCATGCAGCCTCTGGCCTCTTAGAACAGTGGTTTTCAATCCATGATCTATGGCCCCGTGGGGGTCCACAGACTGTCTAAGGGGCCCACGAAAGATGACTGTGATCAGTCAAAGTATGTGAATACCCACACTTACAATTCAAAGGGGTCCACACCTCCATTCAAAAATTTTTAGGGATCCACAAATGGAAAAAAATGGTTGAAAACCACTAATTTAGAAGTTGGACAACTCTGTTGTACACCTTTAGAAAGCTGTTGCAATATTTGTTTCTAGTCCTGGTGATTTGAGATACAGAGATCATGCATACCTCCAGTTAGCATTATACTTTTTCCTTTCCGGTTCTGATCTCAGTTAGCGACTGCTGTCTATAGAACATCAAACACTTGACAAAGCAGAATTTGCTGTTAAATACCAAACTTAGTTACTGTTTGTACCTTCACCGGGGCTCCTACTGAAGTCTCTGAGACCCTGACTCTTGCACTGTTGCAGATTGTATAGGCAGGTAGCTCCTGTTCTCTGAGGATGTAACAATGCCAAATTTGGACATGGAATAAAAAGATAAATTCCATTTTTTTTAATCTTACCTGTGATGTAGCTTTTCAAGAGTAACCATTTTCTACATCAGCAAAAGCAAGTGAAGAGCAGATGCCTTTTCAGATTTGCTGAGGAAAGGAGTTGCCGGGTAGTGAAACTGCTGGTTTAAAATTTATTCATAGATGTAGGGTCGGAAGGGACCTAAGAAGATCTTCAAGTCCGACCCCCTGCCCTGGGCAGGAGAGAATACTGGGCTTATGACCCCAGCTGGTGTTCATCTAGCCTCCTCTTAAAGACCCCCCAGGGTAGGAGCCATCACCACTTCCCTTGGAAGTTGGTTCCAGATCCTAGCCACCCTAACTGTGAAGTAGTGCCTTCTAATGTCTGAACCTACTCTCTAACAACTTATGGCCATTATTCCTTGTTATTCCAGGAGGTGCTTGAGGGAACAGGGTCTCTCCCATTCCCCACTGGTCCCCCCCCTGGTAAAGTGCGGCGCCCAGAACTGGTCACGGTACTCCAACTGCAGCCTAACCAGTGTCGCATAGAGGGGGAGGATCATCTCCTTGACCCGGTTTGTGATGCATCTGTGGATGCATGACACGGTGCGGTTAGCCATCCTGACCTCATCCTCACATTTGCGACCCATTTTTCATTTTGGAATCAATGATGACTCCAAGATCTTTTTCTGCCACTGTGTTTTCAAGAAGGGAGTTCTCCAGCCTATAGGTATGCTGCTGGTTCTTACTGCTCAAGTGCAGCACCCTGCACTTGTCAGTATTGAATCCCATCCTATTCTCATTTGCCCACCACTGTAACCTGTCCAGGTCCAGCTGTATCCTGTCCCTCCCTTCTAGCGTGCCCAGCTTGCCCCAAATCTTGGTGTTGTCAGCAAATTAGAACAGGGTGCTTTTCACCCCCTCATCCAAGTCGCTAATAAAGAAATTGAACAGTGCGGGCCCGAGGACCGATCCCTGGGGGACTCCACTGCCCACCTCCCTCCAGGTCGAATATGACCCGTCCACCACCACTCTCTGAGTGCAGCCTCTCAGCCAATTTGTGATCCATCCAACTGTGTAGGTGTCAGTGCCACAGTTGCCTAGCTTTTTAATGAGAATGGGGTGGGAGACAACGTCAAAGGCCTTCCTTAAGTCCAAAAAGACTACATCCACCATGATACCTGCGTCCAATGATATTGTGACTTGATCGTAGAAGGCAGTCAGGTTGAGTAAGACTAGCAGGCCTATAGTTGTCTGGGTTCCCCCCCCCCTTTTTTTTTGTTAAACCATTCAGTTCCTGAGCAAAAACATACCCAGATTTGAAAAACTTAGAATCAGTCTAAATATTTTCCTTTAAAATACATTTCTTTAAACTCAGATCTTGATCACAGAAAGTTTTAGTTCTTGAAGAAAGTGATAAGAAACATAATTTTCATAAATGTGTGACGGTACATTGCTGTGCAAATATAAAGAAAAGTTGTTAAAACAGCACATTGTCAATATGTTGTGGCTTTCTAGGGAGCTTTTATTGGGGTGAGTGTTCACGCTGGTTCAGCATACAGTGTAGAGCTTTGGGGTTGGAGCTCTGTTTTTTTTTAACTAGCAGCTCTGAGTTTGGATCTTGTTGGGACATCCTAAAAGCTTTACACACTGGCAGCAGGATGAACAGGATGGTTTATTTTTCTTACTTGGTATAAACAACTTAAGGTTCATAGCAGTCCTTGAATGAATAGCTTGCACACTTCAAAAGAAGAAAACTAAACTGCATCTTGCAGTGAAGAGTTCAGAATTTTTACAGGGGAAATTACCCTTGGAAAAAGCAGTGAGTGAATTTATTTACTTTTCTGTGGCTCCCTGAAGTTCAGTGGAACAAATTTTGCCCTGACCCTGGGGTTTGTCCAAGTTGCAAGTCACAAAGTCTCAAACTTGTATTTATAGTAGTAAGTAAGTAGAAACAATTAGAGGGGAGAAGAGGATGCCTGTACTGATTTACAGTAGCAGTAGCGGAGGCCAGTTTCTGGACAACTCCTATGGACTTCATGTAAATGGATTGGAAACATCTGAAAACAGATACTCAACAGAAGTGCACGCACTCATATTTGAAAGATTTAGCAGTTGTCTTTTTTTTAAGAATGTGTCTTAAGCTAATGCTGCATTTCCAGAATTACTACAATCGATACTAGCATTTGAGAGTCACACTGGTGTGAGCTAGCCTGATGTCAAGGTGGCAGAAATGGAAGCTATTCTCCTTGCTGGCCTGAGATGTCACATTTGGACTTTATTGGAAAGGAATTGGGCACATGAACATAGAAGTATGTCTGGTAGTTTTTAGAATAGGCTTAAGGTGAGCTGAATCTGGCCTTAATATCTTGAAGGCAATGTGTGACACGAAAGAAAGCCAAAGGTCCTGTTGGATAGGGCTTGTTACAGCCTTGGGTTCCACTCCCAGTTCTAGTTATACCAGGCCAGTTAAACCAGCTTCTAGAGATGCAGTTTGTTCCATTGGTTACATGGAAAAGCAGACTTATGTGCCCTGGAAACATCCTTGTCTTGACCAAAGAACTTGATAGAACCATTTCTTTGGGCATCTGGCTGTGACAACCACATCCCTCCAGCTTAGTTTCTCTGTGACCTGTTATCTTCGATCAGAGTCCCCGGCCCAATTTTATTTTTCTCTTGAGCAGCCATTCCTCGTCTACTCAGTAACTCGCTGTCATTTGTCCATATTTGGTAGTTTAGCTTCTAGCCATCAAAGATGCATTATAGGGAACTGGAAAAAAAAAATCTGTTCTTTGGATTTGAAGGTTTATTTCCTCATTCCCTTTTGTGATCTTCAAGAAATGAGCAAGATTTCATATTCAGCTTTCCGCATGCTTGCAAGTGGAAGAAAACTTACAACTATGCTGTGTAAAACCCAAATGCAGGAATCTGTGCCCAGGTGGCTACTAATTGAAATAAGGATTGTGTAGAGGTAGAGAGAGTTCTTCCATGGGGGTGAAGGCCATATAAATAACTTTATAGATAATCCAGGGATGTTCAGTATTTTACTAGATATTAATTATCCTGCTGTAAAGAACATCTGAGGTTGAAGGTCGGGGCATTCATTTAGGAAAATATTGTAGGAAAGACCTTGAGGCCGAAAGCTAAATTTCATATTTGGGGTACAGTTGTTACAGACTTTACAAAGTGTCTGCTGTCTAGGTATTTCTGCTGTGGCCATCACTGCTGTCAGACTTTTTAATAGATAACGTGTTTAGTGAGACTCGTTTCTCCTCTCTTCTTTCCCTGTATCACCTAGTGGGTGGCTGTTGTGAAAAAGCCAAGACTGAGAGATTGGCATGGGAGCAGAAGGAGGTCGGATTTGCAGTCATTCTTTATTCTGTGCAAGATCATTTCCAAACTTCAGATTTATTGAGAAAGCCCTTTTGGCTGGCTCCAGGATTTGCTTTTCTCAGTGGAAATGTCTCATGCCCTCCCAGCCTTGAACATCCTGATGCTTGGAAGGGAACAGATTTCTGCACCTCTTCATACTAATCATATCACCTCTGTCTGGCTCTGTTCCCAGTATTTGGTTCTGATTCTTGGGACTCCCTTTCTCCGCTTAAAATAACTCCTTTTTATCTGGAATGGGGTGAGGGGAACTCTATTGTGTATATTCTCAGAGTAGAGAGTTACAAAAGTATTTTAAAAAATACAGTTGCAGTGCGTTATTTAGAAGTAACCTTCCCTTATTCAGATTCATAGTTGGTAGGGTCGGAAGGGACCTGAGCAGATCATCAAGTCCGACCCCCTGCCATGGGGGGGTCTTTCAGCCAGAGTGCAGCCCTGTGTGTGTGTGTGTGTGTGTGTGTGTGTGTGTGTCAGAAATAATTGTAGTTATGGGTCAGCAGCTGTATGGTTTTCCTTTGCTCCTCTTTATAAAGCAACTACATTTCAATATGTTTCCTTCCTTTCTTTTTTCATGTCCTTGTGACAAGGTATTTAGCAGAATTTGCAGATACACCATGAGCTTCAGGTAGTAAGAATTGTTTCCTGACAGTTCATAGTGCAAAGGCAGAGTTGAGATGCTGCTGTTATTGACCATGTATATATGGTCCATAAGCTGAATGCTTCTCTGCCTAGATAGCTGGGATTCTTAGTATGCCCTCCTAAGTAAATTGTTTTTTTTTATTTTCTACTCCAGTGTTGCCAGTGCTTTCTTCCTTAATCAGACTTCTTGCCTAAATCTTATGAAGAGAAGAGGCTTTTGCTTCTTGTTCCTGTATATTATTTTATTTTGTCTGTTGGGTTTTTCAGCCTTCCAATATATTTTTCACAATGGATGACATAGTGAAAATTGGGGACTTTGGACTGGTGACTGCCATGGACCAAGATGAGGAGGAAGAATCTGTTCTTACACCAATGCCAGCCTATGCCAGGCATACAGGACAAGTGGGGACCAAACTTTACATGAGCCCAGAACAGGTGAGGCTTTTTTCAAGCTTAACACATGGAAGTAACTAAGAAAAGTACTTGTAACTTGGGGCTTCACTTTCTTCCTGGCCATGGACATGTAGAAATACAGTGTCTTCTGGGTGATCACAGAATTCTTAGTAATGAAAGAAGATAGGTTGCCCGTTGAATGTATGGTTGACTTTGTGATAGCTGCACTCGTGTAATAGCCACGCTGTCCTGCCTTTTGCCTGTTCTTAGTTTGGAAGATTTTAATTTGATCTGCTAAGAATTAGTCACGTGCTTCAGATGGGGCCATCAGTCTGAATTGAATTTTGATACAGGTATTTTCAGCACTTTTTAATTATTGTAAAAATTAGGTTTGTGAAAATAATGTACCTGAGTAGAGATGATTATTTTGATCCTCTCTTAAAACAGGACAGGAAGGTAAAACCTGAGTAGTATGATAGACTCCATCAGCCCTTCACAAAATTAATCATGTGGGTGTGTTTAACTGACTAGTGTTGTATGATTTTTATGTGCGTTGCTGAATTCTGTCAGCTATGCCATTAACGTGAACCTGATTCTGGTTTTCCAGATTTATGGGAACACATATTCACACAAAGTGGATATCTTCTCTTTGGGACTGATTCTCTTTGAGCTGCTTTACCCCTTCAGTACTCAGATGGAAAGGATCAAGGTAGATATACTTGTAGAAAAGAAGCATTCTTAGTTTTTTCTGTTTTTATTTAAAATGTGCTGTGTAAAAATGTCTTAACATGCATTTGTAAGAGTTACTCAACAATAAAACAATGCAGCATTTGCTTTCAAGTATAATAAAGCATAGCTTTGGTGTTGGCCTTGAAGCAGAACACCATGTAGCAGTAGGCATGAACTGCACACACGAACAAGTGGAACAGATTTGAGGCAATCATTACTTAATGAGAGTTTTGAGTTGCTGACCTATGTAACAGAAGATGAGGAACCAGAACTTAGTGGAGCCAAGACATCGGATTAGTTTCTGATTTCAAAATAGCCACTGTGGCTTTGTTGGAGTCTTGGATCTGTGCATGTGCATGCTACTTTTTCTTTTCCTCCTTCTCTTTTCCTTTCCCCAAACACCCAGTGAAGTTCTGGTTACTTTTCTTTTTGTACAATCCCAGTCAAGTCACAACTTCCATACCGCAAAGCATGCTTTCTAGCAGTTGGTTGATTTTCATTGATTGTGTATTTTCTTAACCATGAATTTAGGGATTGTAACAGTTTTTGCTACCATCTGCTGGCTTGTAACTCTCACTGAACAATGTTCATTGGAACTGCTAGGAAGAGACAGCTCTTAGAAAATTGAGTGTAGATTCCTTCCTCCTCCGTGGGAATTAGGTTCACAGAAGGAGCTTTCGAGTTTTCCCCTGCACTAGAAAAACAGTGCTTGTAGGAAAGGGAAGGCAGTTTGTTTTTACCATCATTAGTTACTCAGCACTGTATGATTGATTTAAATTCTCTTACAAAGTGGACTATTTTGGCATAGTCTAAACTGCCTTTCACATATCTGTCTCTGAGCATGAATCTGACCTGAAGTATTCCTCCTGTAGAGGCATTGCACATCCGTGAGTAACATGGCCCTTTTACTTGTAGATGTCCAGAGGAAAAAAAATATTAGCTTAGCTCGAGTCATTTGTGACAGAATCTGCTTTGAGCTCATCTTTCCTTATACAAAATAGTAAAGCATTAAACGTACAGGGTCACATACGCCATAAAACACTTTCCTTTTGATTTTCTGGCCAGAATCCCATGCAGCAAGTAGAAGAGCATTGTCCTTCTGCTTTCTGCTCTAGATCCAGAAACAAAACTGCACCGGCCAAAGTTCAGATCTGATTCCACAAGGCTAGGGATAACAGAAGAAAAGCTTTTCCTTTTTCATTTGTTTTCACTGTCATTTCTCAACATATATTTTCTTTACTCTGTTTGGTGACCAGTAAGTTTAGCTAATTGCTCAGGATGCCATTCTGTTACATTCATATTGTATTTATTCCCTCTCCCATTAGCTGTCTCCCAGCCACCAATTGTGCTGCTAATAAAAGCTGTTCAGATGACTGTCTGAGCAGTGAGTGCTTGCCTCCAAAGCCAAGAGTCCTCTGCACAACCTGTTAGCCAGCTCTACTGTATCCCAATAAACCAGGGGCAACAGAAACAAGGGACTGAAAGCGTCACAAGGCTCGGGGGGTGGGGGGTGCTCCTCTGCCCAAACAGTACAGCAGAGCTCAGGTAGAAATGTGCCTGTGCCAGAACAAGTTATTTCCAAACTGATCTGATTGGTCCCAAGACTTTTTTTTGAAGGTACCATTCAGTGCCAGGATTTCTGTGAGTTTTTGTCATGAAACTTGGTTTCTCTGCAGTGTCAGTAAGCTGGCCCTCGCCTACCAGCACGACCAATCATACGTTCAGCTTTCCTCAGTTCCTGTCCCATCATACTTGCCTGACTTTACCCTTCTAATTTCTCAAATTCCACATTCACATCTTCGTAAAAGTAGGCCTGTTTTTATAAGAAAGTCAAATGTAAAGCATAGTTCAGGTACAGAGGCTTGCCTCGTTACGTAAAGCTTGTTGAAATGGATTGCTATGGAAATTAGTAAATCAAATTCATTAGCAGCAGCAGTGGAATATAGCTTGTAATTATATATAGTAGAGTGGGGGAAATACTACCAGTAGAGGGAGCCAAAGCAAATGAAATGAAGTAAGCCCAAACTGTACTGGATGTGAGTTATGTTGTACACTTACATGTTTAGAATGAATAAACAAGTGACAGTTAAGTTCATTTGTCTGTGAGCATCCACCTATAGCTCATGAGCATCTTAGTCATAATACAGATAACCCCGATGTCCTTAGCAGTACACTGTATATAATACTGCTTTGTTGACAGTATTAGGTTGGACCTTGGGGATGTGAATGGGTTTAACACGGTTCACTCTGAGCTCTGTATCCTGGGTCTTTCAGTGCAGGTCAGGCACATCCTGGGAAGCATGGACATGTACATTTACATGCACAGTAATCCTAACCAATGATAGAGGTCTAATAAGAAACACTGATTTTTCTCTAGTTTATCAACATCCAAAACATGTACAGGATGGATTTGTTTGCATGGTACATTTTTGATGAGTTATTATCCTAACTTTGAGCCTGGACAGATGACATACTTGTACTGTTGTACTTTACATCAGTTTGGTACACATTGCTATCACAATTGACAGCTATTACAGAGACTGGCCACTAGATGACAAGGAAGCAGGTAATATCCTGGTTGCTGTGAACCAGTGATTCTTAGTGGAGGTACTGCCAGATCCTTTGAAGTGTGAGGAGATACGCAGATATGTACAGGCTCAGATTTGTCTTTGTCTAGCCAATCTTCCACCCCAACTGCCTGTCCCTCGTGCAAGGAGGAAAGCACTGTAATATATACATTTTGAAATTTGGTGTCACTCAATTTACAAAAGTTATAGAGGGGTACCTCGAGCCCTGCAAGGGGTAATTTGAGCCCAAAAACATTGAGAACAACTTCCTGAGACAAAAAGCTACTCCATGATCAGTTGAAGACAGATGACAACTGTCAGTGTAATGTACACCAGCAGAATCTTGCCTGGCTGAGGCAGTGACCTGATGTAAAGGTTTTTAATTGTCTGTTCCTTTTTACACTAGTATAAAAGTGCGGTCTCCCCAGACCCTTTGTGAGCAAGAGCTTGAAGAGCGAGATGTCTAATACCCTCTTTTTTTATATCATTACAGACATTAAGTGAAGTAAGAAGCTTGAAGTTTCCACTGTTGTTTACTCAGAAATGTTCACAGGAGGTAAATATATCTAATGCTGGTTCGGGACTGCCCACCTGCATTCCAGTTACTTTCTCTTTAGGCAAGTGTAAGGGGTCTTAGCTCTTCCGTTTTAGACCAGATCCTCTTCCAGGTGCTTTACTGTGCCTCAGATATGAGGGTACTAACTTTCAATCAGTGCCTTAGCCTTTATATAAATATTTTTGCTTTGTGCAACTTTACATTCCCAGTGCTCAGCCTGTCCGGTTTTCCTGTACTGCTGATACAGCAGCATTTCCTTTTCCCTTATGTCCCAGCCCTCTTCTGCTTGTGCCTGAATCCTTAACACAAAAACTGCATAGGTGAGAAGTGGTACTACAGGTGAGCCGAGCCGAGCCTCTAAGGAGAACGTTGCATGAACAAAGCTACAATGTGAGGCAGAGCAGAGGGAGGGTCATTTCAGATGAAGTGGGGGAGCTTGCAGACCCCCAACATGAGAAAAACTAAGTGATTTCCAGATTCCTTTCTGACTGCTGCAGCTCAGTACTCAGATGACACCAGCCTCCCTCTGCAACCACTACAGCCAGGCTTCTGGAGAGATGAAGTCTGCTTGGAGTGTTGAGTTGAATTGAGATTAGTGATGCTTCACTTCTTGGACTGTCTGAGGAGCAAGAAATATTTTTCTGCTTTTTAAAATTAATCTACCCATATGTTTAAAAAGGAAAATGTTGATGTGTTCTTTTAAAGCTGCTTCATGTGCTTCCTTAAATCTAGGAATTAAATGCACAGTTAAGTGGAGCATAAAATTAAGATACAAGATCTGTAAATTTTCAAAAACGTACCAACCCTTTGAATCTTGGGGCAGGTTGGACCTGCCAAATGAGCTTTTAATCCCTGCTCAAAGGATAAATCTGTTGCCACCATACATACAGTACTGTGCCAAAGAATTAATGCACGGGGTTCTTGGAAAGCACTTTGGAGCATCTTGTTGTTTTTGCAGCCAAGACTAAACAGTTGGTGTCTGAAATGTCACATATCGCATTTATTATCTTTTAGTACGCTATGGTGAAGCATATGCTTTCGACAAACCCGATCGAAAGACCAGAAGCTGAAGACATCATAGAAAACCCTGTGTTTGAAGACTTAGAACTCCCAACAAAAACAGTGCTTAGGCAGAGGTCACGGACAATGAGTTCATCTGGAAATAAGCATTCAAGACAGCCAAGCAAATGATTCTGCTTACTCAAAAGATTTCTGAGGGATAATTCAGCAGGTGGATCCTACGTCACAGAAGATTGATCTCGGAAACAGTTATGCTTCAACTTTGATTTTGCTCTTAGTTTTGTAAGAAACAATCCAATCGGAGTTCAGTTAATCTTGTTTGCTCTTGTTTGGTGACTCAATGAAAGCCAGTTACTAATCTTTTTCACATTCCCATCTTTGTTATACCTAAGCCCACAAGGATGAATCGGTCCAGCGCACTGCCTGCCCTCTACGTTGTTGACCTTATTTGTGTTTGGATCCTGTAAATATCAGCTCTCTGGGGAACGGAAGAGATCTTTAAGATGTAAATAGAATTAAAATACTGTATTTTTATAAAACAAATTACAGTCTCTAAGCCTGGTGAATACGTGTCCTAAATGCTGAGATCTTGAAACAGACTATGAAAATCCATGACTCCATTTCTTCTTGTTGGGGGGTAAGTTGGGAATCTCCACTATTTTCAAAGCAAAATACCATGGCTGTATATACTATCACCATCCATAGCCAGTCCTTAGAGGATCCTGTGGTTTATATTTTCACACCACAGTAGATTTTAGTGAATGCATTTTGTACTGATAAGCCTATAAGGGGTTGGGGGAGGAGCATTTTGCCATAAAAATTGGTCATAGGTACTGGTTTGAAGAGCCATAGTAAGACATAAGCATATATCAAAAAGTTGTGATTCTGGAATTTCTAAGACAAATGAAGTCATAAATGTCTTATGTAATCTTGTAGATTTGTACTTTTTTAAAAATCAACTGTAGACATTTGTGTAATCTGCTAATTTAACTGCTTAATACCATGCTTTTTCTCACTGTAAATATGTTCATTTTTATTTATAAAATGCAGAGTCAATCCATATGGGTTGGAGGTGTACAGAATGCACTTACTATGGTTGTCAAGTGCATTAATTATTGTGACTTCTTTCAAGTCTAAATGATTTAATAAAAAACTTTTTTATTTAAAATGTTTAGTTGCTTCTTTTCAAAAAAGCAAAAATTATACACAACAGACACCACAGATAGCAGGTTTACATGGTTTGAAAAGGACAAAAAGACAGTTCTTGTATCTCACTTAACTTTTCTGCCAAGTTTAAAATAATCAGATTTGGCCCAGTGCAAACTAATGTTTTTAAGATTGAGATGGCCCTTTAAATTGTGCCTGAGATACTCAGTGAAAAGAAGAGAGTTGGGAGAGAGAGGGACTTGAGATTTTGGTCTGAGTTTGTGAATGAGTTGGTTATGGAAGCTTGAAGACCATCTCTTGAGCTTTGTTGAAGATCAGAGTAGCATCCATACCTAAACTTGCTGATGCATTTTTCCACCTCATTTCAGTAACTTACAGGTTTGTTTGGTATTTTTTTTGAAATCTTGGTCCTTGACTGAGGACTTCTTCCCTCTCTTTCTCTCCAAAAAAAATAAATGGCACTAGTTATTTTCTCTTATCATGTCGCTATATTGTATGGCTAGAAACGTTTTGAGACTGAACCCAACTGCCTGCAACATCCAAATTCTGCAATTGTATACGATGGCAACAGCAAATGGCTTCTTTTCTTCTTTTATGGCTTGGAAGTGTTTTGGACAGTGGGCTTGTCCAGTGAAGCCAGTTTGTTTTCAGGGTGTAGCTTTGCTGAACTTGAGTTCGATTCAGGAAGGTCTGTAGCAGGGTTAGCAGAGTGAAACAGATGTGTGGTCTTCCCTCAGATCCAGCTAGTAAGTGCATGGGGGAAGGTTCATTTAGTGGCTTGTGATCACCAGCATGTTTCAGTCCTCATACCAGCAAGATTTTGTTACCGTCCAAGTCTGGTCAACTTAAATACTCTTGATAATTCAGCAGCTGCGTCTTTCCATACCAGTGGTTCTGTAACATGTTAGAACTGCTGCCTTGCATTTCTCATCTGCCTGTCTGGTCTCTCTTGTACACCTTTGAATCTCCTCAGTGACATGCTGTATAAGTTTCCTAGATGAATATTTTATCTTACTCTGGTTTTCTCCCGTCTCTTCTGTTTGTAACTACCCTGCCAAAGGTCTCGGGGCATGGTAAGTTCTATTTACATATTAAACATGACAAGTCTCCTCAGAGACAGCACAGAAGAACAATGCCTGGACTCTCTAATAGTTCACATTTACAAAGAGAATGCACACAATTTCTGTACATTAAGACCATTTCCCCTACCTGTATGCACTCCTTATGAAGCATGGCTCTGGTATCCTCCAGGTTTCAACTGAGTTTTGAAAGTTTATAGTTTTCAACTTTATACATCAGAAGACAACTGGGGTGAAATTCAGTCTTGTGCGGAGATGGCCCCAGACCTAGCCACTGCTGAAGTTGTTGGAAGCAGTACCTGGTGTGCGCGCTGGCTTTCTGCACTGGAGCAGATTTCACTCGGGACTAAATCCTGCAAAACCCCATGTATGTGCTCTGACATGAGTAGTTGCATTGAAAAACTGAATCAAGTGGATTTTGCTGAATGTGGGCTGTACTGACTTGCTGTGAAGTGCATGTGCTCAGTGTTAGTACATGCCCAGGCTAAAAACAACACAATTCATATTGGTTTTATCAAGTTTTTTTTCTATGTGAACACATCACTGGGTGCATCTACACATGAAATTAGTGCTCCCAAATAAACTCCAGTGCAGTTCATGCCACAATTTACTGCTCCTGGGCACAACAGTTGCACATGAGACCTGGACTGCAGCATGTTGAGCGGTGCAGTCCTGGCTGGTAGGGAGCCGGGGGGGGGGTGTCAGCTGACCAGAACAGAGCTGCTCTGCCCAGCTCAGCATACTGCGGAGGGGCTTGCTGGAGTACAAAGGTGCTCCAGGGTGGGGCTAACCAGCAGACAGATCCCCACGTTGTAGCACACTCGTGCCCCAGCCATCCCCAGTCACCATCTACATGTGTATTGTGGTGCACTAAATAACTCCACCATAGGATAGTACTTGTATCAGGCAGTACTATCCTACAGCAGAATTAATTAGTTTACTGTGGCCTAATAATGCTGCATGTATAGCTGGTGATACTTTATTGCAGCACTAATTAGTCAACTCCATAGTAAAGTGCATGTGCAGATGCCCCACTTTGTAGGAGGAGTCAAAGAACTGTAGAGTTGGAAAAGACCTCAAGGGTCATCTAGTCCAACCTGCTGCACAATGAGCTGTTCCTAAATACAACAAATTCTCTTGCAAACCTCGAATGAAAGAGATCCCACAAGTTCCCTGGGCCTCTTGTTCCATTTCCTACTCTTCTTACAGTTACGGAAGGTTCCCCCTTCCCCTGATTTAATCCAAATCTCTTACTGCAGTTTCAACCCATTGCTTTGTGTCTTCCCACTTGCAGTAGTCTTTCAAATACTCAAATTGCTACCAAGTGCCCAACCCTTAGTCTCCTCCAATTAAATGCATGAAGACAGACGGGAAAGAATCAGGTATGGTTTACATTTCAACCCCTTTATCATCGTCACTTGCCTCTGGATCCTCTCTAGTTTCTCCACATCCTTAAAATGTGGAGCCCAGAACTGCACACAATATTCCAGCTGAGGCCTAACCAACACTAAGCAGAGAGGAGCAATCACCCCTTGTATCTTCTGTACAGTGCTTGTTAAGGCATTTCTTTTTAATGTCACTGGATCACATTGCTGACTCAGGTTGAATCTGTGATCCACCAAAACCCTCAGATCCTTCTCAGCAACACCGTTGCCCAGCCAGTTATTTCCCATTCTGGCTTTTTGCACTCTGTTTTTCTTCTCTAAATGTAGCACCTTACATTTGTCTTTGCCAAATTCATTCTTATCTAGTTTTCCAATCTATGGAGATTCTTTTGAATTTGAATCCTGTCCTCCTGAGTGTTTTGAGTTTTGCCATCTGCACCCTTCATCAGGGAGTTCTCTTTTGACATCCAAATCCTTAATAAAGACCTAAAACAACACCCAGAAGAAACTCCATGGAACCCCAATAATTTGTTATTTTTATGAATAGTCATTTTTAATGCAAAATAGCCCAATTGGTTATGGAGAGTTTAGCGGGGAGGCCAAGGTCTTTTCCTGTTTTCCCATGCGCTACTAGTTTTGTGCTAAGCACAAAAGAGCATGAAATAACAATGGCATTATCATTCCTTGCATTTCACACAAATCAAAGCCAGTTGATTTGTAATATGCACCCAAAAATGAAAATAGTTCAATGAATAAATCCCACCCCCCAAATGCTCTCCAGTCACTCTGCGTGCTTTCGGTCGCATCCTGCAATAAACAGCTTGGACCTCTTACTGTTTTGTCTTGTTTTTCAGGGTTCCAGAAGACAATGGCACTTTAATGCTGTACTCCAGGTCCTGAGCAGTCTTAGTAAAGGTGGCTATTGAAACCATGTCTTCTCCAATGTCCACCTGAGACCTGCGCCTGCAGAAAAGTAGCTTCTTCAGAGCCCGCTGGAAGTCCCGATTCAGAAAAGCATAGAGCATGGGGTTAATGGTAGAATTGCAATAACCCAGCCAAGTTATGATCTTAAAGGTATCAGCCAGGACCGAGCTGGTGGAATCAGCCCCTTTAGCAGCTAGCCATACATTCAGGACAAAGTACGGTAACCAGCACAGTATAAAGACCGAGATGATGATGCTAATTGTCCGAGTGGCTTTGTTCTCCAGCTGTAGATTGTTCGGCCGCTTGCTGTTGGGGTGGTAGTGAATCTCAAGGGCCTGCGAGACTATGCGGGTAGCTTTGAGCCGTGACGCTCGATAGATGAAGAAATACATGCTGCACATGACCATGAAGGGGACAAAAAAGGCTAGGGCAGAAGCGACGATGGCAAAAGTCCAGTTGGTGACAAAGATGCACTCTCTGCCAGCATCAAAATCTACGCCAGGGATCTCATTCCAGCCTTGCATGATGGGTAGAAAGGAAATGAGGGAGGAGTACACCCAGACCATGCAAGTCATCACAATGCACCTAGGAATGGAAGAGCACGGGGCACAAGTGAGTTCTTACTTGAAGCATGACAGTTTAAAAAAATCCCAGATCTTAAAAGAGTTTGCAAACTCGGTGCAAGGCCACACCGGGTATTTGCTTCCAAAAAAGGATGACGAAACAAAGAAGAAAGAAAAAAAAAACTTGGCTGTTACAAAGATGAAAGTTGAATGTATTTCTGGTGCTTTTCAAGATATATTATGCCATGATTTTATTTTATTTTTTTTTAAACATTGTTTTTTAAACGTTCTCCATGACAGCCCTGGCGGGTATCATCAATCAGTGGCCCTGAAGGGCTTTGAAGAGGTAAAAAAGAGAGAAACCTTCTTTGCAGTATTTAGCACCAAACAAGATCATCTCCAAAGCTTGTTGCATTTGGATCTAGGGATTAGATACAGGATGATCTCAGCTAGCTGATTTGTCTACACTGCAGCAGCTGCACCCTCTGTAGCTGTACTGAACTAGTTTAAATGGGTTAACCCTGGTATTATAGCAGTCTGTGTACCGTAGCAATATGGTGCTCATTCAGGGCTTCTCCCTTGGCCCTCCACCCCTCCCCTGAACACACAGGTGTACACACATGCACACACAGCTGGGAGGAGGAGGGGGTTAGGCAGCACTGAAGTCTTATGTTGCAGCAGTACCACAGCCAGGTAGTTCAAAGCTAACTTGGTTTTGTTCACGTGAGGTGCAGACAAGGCTGTGACTGCAGTGAAAATGTCCTCAAAAAGTCTTATGACCCTTTGCCTCAGTTTACCAAGAGCCCTGGAGTGACCCCCCACTTCCCATTCTCAATGTAAATGATTGTAAAAATTAAAAAAAAACTGGACACAAGAGTCCTGCTACCGGCTGTAGCTCTAATCCTGCTGGAGAGGCAAGTACAAATTGACTGACTGCAAGATGGCAGGGCCAGGGCATTAGGAAGGTGCTTACTCCCGCTCTCCCCATTCAGCAGCCCTTGTGTATGGACTTCCAAAGGAGCTGTCATGGGAACTTAAAGCTAATTGCCGTGTTGGTGGTGCTACTAGATCAGGACAGTGACGGTATCACTACCTACATTTTTCTGGGGGTTATTTCCTCTTTGATGCAGTTCCCTCCTGAAATGCAAAGGGCGTGCAGGGTGTCCCTTGTGCCTGGGGGCAGGTATCGCAGACGGAAATTTACTGTGAGCCAATTATATTTTTAAACATGTCCATGAATTCAAAAAAGTCATCCACAGAAGGGCACCCAGGCTAGGTCGGATGTGCATCTTCATGCAACTCTCCCCTAGATCATCCTCAAAAAAACAATAGTGCAGCACAGAGGCTCTAAGTGGTGCAAACATCCTTTTATCTGTATTGATCCGATTTTGAGAGCTGGCTGCAAATGGCTTATTGGGGGCTTCCATGGCCCATGCTGAATGTGGATCAGACAGCCAAGGGAGAACATGGAAGTGGTTGGGCACTTCAGAGGAGCCCGACTGGGTGTGGTTATCAATGAAATGTTATCGAGGCCATTGACCTGAGTGCTGATCTCATACATGCTAGCACAGCTTGCATTACTGTAATACCCAAGTGCTTCCACGCTTACGTTAATGTATTTATCCACACACAGAGAAGTGCTCTTATCCTCAGCTTAAGAGATGAGGATCGGAGGCACAGTGAGATATAAAACAATATACCACAGGGTCAAAGGGGGGCAGGATTCGCTGCACATCAGCTGCTCCATCCGCAGCAACTGCCCATGTGTGCACTCTTACCCTTTCGCATCGAGGACTAAGCTACTGCAATGTAGCTTCCACTTAGCACAGGGTAAGAGTGCACACAGGCAACATGCAGTAAAGCTCCACTTCTCGTACTCTACAGCAAGTCCACGTTTGTGTGCCCGTACCCCAAATGACTTGCCCAACAGCGCGCACGAGTTTATGGGAGAGTAAGGAATTGAGCCTAAGCCCCCAGCTAGCATCGAAACACTGGACCATCCTTCCTGTCCATCCTCACCTTTGAATTCTTCCGTCTTACCACCTGCAATGCTCAGTTCCTATTTGAATCAAGACCAGAGGCACTCCTGTGGCTGTGTTAAATGCCCAGCAACATTTTAGCTTCCAGTCAATAAACCCTGGCAGCTGTGAGCATCTGTCAGAGCCTGGAGCCTCCTCTCTCCTCCACAGTCATTAGAGGAGTCAGTCCACTCACCTGCCACGTGACATCCTCTTCGAATAATGGTAGGGGGTCACCACGGAGCAGTATCGATCCAGGCTGATAAAGCACAAGGTAACAATGGACGCCGTGCAGAACATGACATCAAAGGAGATCCACACTTTGCAGAACAGCTTCCCGAACAGCCACATCCCTGTCACCTCATAAATTATACTGGGGAAGGGGTGGTGAGGATGCACAAAGAACATGGTTAGGTAGATATCTGGGAAGGATGCTTATTTGCTTTCAAGGACTTTGCTTTACCCAAGAGCAATGTGAATGCCAAGCCTGGCTGGTGAGGTACTGAAGCAGAGGTCCCACATGGCAAAATTCAAACTATAAGGCCCATTCTCATTGTTTAGCACACGGGTGCTCAACTCTAGCTCGTGAGACAAATATGACCTCCAGAGTCATGGTACCTGGCCCACAGGGACCCCTACAGATCAGGGCATTTGGTGTCATCGGAGCAGTAGTAATTAATACAGTCCCCACCACTGCCAAATTCCCAAGCCCCACGTGGTGGGTTGGGACCAGACCATGCCCATCCTCCACCTTCACCCCTCCCGGCTGGGCCATTCCCCCTTTCCCCCGCAGGGCTGGGTGAGGCCAGGCTGTCCCCTCCCTCCGTCCCTTCCTCCACCTCTCCCTCCCCTCACAGCTGGATGGGGGCCCCACCATGATCACTCCAGATGCCAGATCAGGATCACAGCCTGGATCCAGCTCATGGACAGACCAGACTGCCTATCTGGCCAAAATGTTTAGCATCACTGAATTAGCACATTAAATGTTCTGCTGAGGCAAATACGTCTGTGAAAAATACGTCCCTGTATCAAATCATTGCCAGTAAAGTCAAGGGAGCTGTAACAAAAGACTGACCAGCAGGGATCCAGGCTTTCTGTTCACCATGGAAAAATATGGTAACACCTGGATTTTCTCATTTTAAGGAGGAAAACCCAGGTTTTCTTCTTTAGAGGAGAAACGTGGGAAGCGGTGGGTTTCCCCTTGCAGGCAGGCAGAGTCCCAGCCTTCAAGGGGCGGGGGCAGCGGGAGGAGGGCGGTCAAGCAGGGGGTGCCATGTGCACGTGCACGTGTACACACGCACGTGGCCGCCAGGCAGCCTGGAGAGCAGCTCCTGCAGGTAAGTCTGGCCACGGGGTGGGGTGGAATTGAGGCCCCCGTAGTGAGGAAGGGAGGGAGTTGAGTAGGGATGGGGCTGTGGGTGCTGCTCAGCTTGGGTAGCACGTGGGGCCCAGAGTCAGCATGCACAGCCACAGGGCCTGGGTGGGGAGCAGGATGGAGCCACAGGGAGCTTGTTGGATGGGGGGAATGCAGCTGGCTCCCTGCTGCTGTACACACTCCCAGAAGGGGCATGGGGGGGCATGTGCCCCCCAGATTTGTGCATGAGGTGGGATCAGGTGCAGGCTGCCCTCCATGGGCTTCAGCTGCCCACTCCGCAGCCCTCCCCTGGGGTTTCTGCAGCCCAGCGGGCAGGACCTAGCGTGGCAGAATGGGACCAGGTGGGGGAGCTTGTTGCCACCACTAGGACTTGTGTGTTGCCATGGCCAGGTGCCCCCTGCCCACCCAGCAACAGCAGGGGTGGTGGTGCGGAGTTGTGCCAGGGCAGCGCGGAGCTTCCCCACCCAGCCCTGCTCTGCTCTGCTGTGCTGGGTCCCGGCAATGGCATGGGCAGGGCATTGAAACATCAGGGCTACTCAGTGCCACAAAGCAGTGTGGGCAGGACAGCTGCAGCTGAACTCTCATCCTGGTGAGCAAAGGGGGCAGGGAGAGCTCTGATTTTCCATGATAAAAAACCCAAAATCTAATGCCAAAATGTATAGGTATTTAGAATTGATGTTATTATAGTAAATAATATATATTATTATTATTATTTATTATTCAGGCACTGGTAGGCTTCCAGATTGTTTTAAAATTGTAAATATATTAATAAAACATTGTGTTCAACTGATACCTATATATAGATATATAGATATAGTGGCATTTCATTTTAATCATGGAAAAACATAGCTTTCGGCAGGTTTAATCAGAGAATTTGCAATTTTTACGCAGAGAAAGCCAGGATCCCTGCTGACCAGTAAGGAAGGTACGAAGCTGGTGGCAGGAATATGAAGGGTTAAGTACCATATGCTGTTGCTATAGCTCTTGACTGCATGCAATTTACTTCTTCCTACTTTTACCAGCTTTATATAACTCCTTCACTGCTCCTGAAATAACTCTTGGACTGATTTTATGGGAAGGCAAACAATTACCTACTTGCATGAGGCTTAATTCTCTTCTACCTTGAAACTATACAGCTCCATAATCACTTTGCGCTAAGACTGGAGCAGCTGCACGGACCATAGCAGTTCCCTTGGCGCTGCCTTCTAGAAAGCAGGGAGGGAGACAATTCTTGGAGGTGCTTTTTCCTCCATAACATCTGGTTTGGGTCTAATTACTATGAATTACAGGTACTTTTCAAGGCTATGATTGCTCTAACACTGCAGAAAGCTATGTGCACTAAGAGCACTGCATGTGTTACAGACCCATTTAGAGCTGTCAGTCAGGATCAAGCCCTCACCATGCAGTGTTGTATGTATACATTGATTTTTCCATGGCCCTCGTTAGCATATTATCGGAGTATCTCCCAGACTGTAACACATTTAGAGGCAGGGAGGTGCTGCTACCCCCATTTTACAGTTCGAAAGCTGAGGCACAAACCCACATCCACAAAAGGATGCAGGTATTTAAACTCCAACCAAGTCCACACTTTCAATGCTGAAATTTCCATGTCAGGTGCTGCCTAACCCTGGAGGCACCTGGAATCTGAAGGACCCTAGGTTTTCAGCATTAAGATTTTCTCCATCTGAACCACTCCTGGGCATGACTAGACAGAGCTGGACAGCTTGGCATCTCGCTCGCATCTAAGCCCTGGCAGAACCCACAAAGCTGGTGTCTCTCCATCTGTCTCATCTACGGGTTCCTGTTCTTCTTCCAGCCAGAGCCCGCAGCATCTGGCCGTCTTCAGTCTGGGGTGAATTGGCTGCTGACACATTTGTGATCCCTGTCCGGCACACAGTCTCTATCCCAACATACTCTGACAATTCTCCCACTTTAATGCATAATGAAGACATCCGTGCAGAGGATACAAATCCCCAGATACAACTTCCAGGGAAGTCACTGGCAATGGCCTCATGAGCTCAATGCCTGGATGTGAACAATCATGCTATAAACAGGTTATGCTGTAGGACTTCCTATACTCAACAAAGCAGAAACAAGCTTGCATAGCAACAGGTGACAGTGAAAGGTGGATAGGGACCCAGGAGCAGAGTCAAGGATGATTTTGGAACCTGCACTGAAAGTTTCCGAACTAGAAGAGTCAGGCGCTGCCATTGTAAAAGGCATGTTTCGCTTTCCTCCAAAAGCAAAGTTTTGTTTTCATCTTTAGTGACCTTCCAACACACTATTACTGTTACATATGGGCACCTTAATTCTTACATAATCAGGGTTTAAACTTAAATTAAAAGATCAGATTCACTCGCAGGCTGTGGCTGTGTCGCTGTGATGACCCAAATCATCTCCATTTCCAGTTTAACAAGCCACCAAGGGCAGTTTTATGGCTATTTTAAACACATCACCAGAGCGGCTCAATGCAGCCAGAGTGGACTGCGAGAAGATTTATCCTCACAACACACCCCAGAGGCAGGGAAATGCTGCCATTTTCAGAAAATGGCTCAAAAGATTTACAGTTATTGGCTTTGTCCCTGCTTAATCTTTTAGCCTGGTGTCTATAATTATAACCCTGAATTCGTGACCACCAGCAAAAGCGTAGACTAAATACAAGGAAAAGAAATCCTTGAAATGAAATAGTTCTCATTTGCCTTCTCACTGCAGCCAGCTTTAAATAGCACAAGACTCCCTAAATCTTCAATATATAAATCAGCACTCAGCGATCCAGACAGTTGGAAGTTACAGAGATTATCCTTTTACGTCAATAAGTGACTGAGGTAAAATAGTTCTTTTGCAAAAAAACCCCAAAAACCTGCCAGTCACCCTCCTCCAAAATCCAGAGGCATTTGGATTGAGTCGAAAGAAATGCAAAAGCTGATGCTGTTGGGATAAAAATAAAAAGAACAACGTAATTTGCAGTTGCATTTCAGATGTAAGAATCCAGGTGCCGTTAAACCGGTAAGCAGTTTTTCTAAATTCTGTGGGGTCACATTCTGTTCTCACAATGATTTTATATTGGTTTAACTGGTTTTGGATAGGTATCTGGCTGGGGTCAGCTGACCCCAGCACTCTTTGCTGCCTAGGCAG